TGAAGATTCATCATCAACCAGTTGTATTCGTTCACGGTACCGCAGACTCAGCGTTGTATACACAAACCCCGATGGCAACCGGATGGTCTCGTTCCATCCAATATTTCTTAGAGCAGAATTACTCATCAGCTGAGTTATACGCAACGACTTGGGGTGATGCATGGGCAGTTGGTGGGAACCTTGTTGATGCCTACAACACAATGCGTACTTGCTCAACACTACTTTATTTACGAAGATTCTTGGGCGCTGTTCTGCAATACACACGAGCACCCAAAATTGACGTTATCGCGCATTCTATGGCTGTCCCTCTGATGAGGTGAGTTGGTTCATTGGGTAGAACAACGGAATTTTAAAATTGCGATCCTCTCCTAAAATACATACGAATCGATCAACAGATCAGCCGACTTAAACTTTCGAGTCTTATCGCGTGAATGCAAGAGGTGTTTAAATTTTTATCAAATATCTTAGAATTTCATAAATCCAATTCAATTTCCACTTGAATTCATTGAGTCTTTCGTAAACTCAATAAAAATTTCCTTTGAATCAGTCAATTGTCTTTGGAAATTAATTGGGGTTTTCATATGAAACGAGTTTCAGAAAAGTGCTGAAAGGTGGCAATCTAATAGCGACCGATGGGAACTGCACACTGGGACCGCCAATGACAGAATTTGTGGATACGTTCCTTGGTATCGCGGGTGCAAATTATGGATTGTGCGTATGTCAGTTAGCGCAGACCATACCTGCATGGTGTAATGCCCTGGACGGTCTTTATCCGGGATACACATGCGAAGATCAGGTGCGTGGTTCATAATGCTTCGAAAGCTCTAAAATGTTTACCGGAATTCAATCAAGTATTAAAGTTAGCTTATAATGAATAATTAGATACAAATTTGTTCATTGCCAGTGTGGTGTGTAGCGATGATTTATGTGTTTTCAAGAAGTTATTCAGTTTCAAACCAAATTTCTCTCTATGAATGGATTTCTTTCACGAATGATAGATGAGCATTGTAGTGACCATACGAGACTTATTGTTGTCTGGATAAGATCTCCTCTTCAATTCAGCTGCATTGTAAATTCAGTTCAGGATGAACCTTATTCCTTCAATCCCAAGATTGTATTGTTCAAATAACGGTTTTGCATTGATTTTTCTATCTGATAACGAAGTTTCTCATTATTGTTCATTTGCTGAAGATGTTTTTCATTTCTATTCTGGATCCCAAATTGTTTGGAGAAAATGCTGTCGTTGAAACAATTCACTGATCGTGAGTTCCTGCAAAATAATTTTCAACAACGACTACTGTGATTGACTTGAAATAGTCATCTGTTCGAATCTTCTTTCGTTCAATCATTTAATTACGTTACTGAGTTGAAGTTGAATCAAATTCAAGGTGATTTGTGGCTATCCAGATGGTGAGTGCAAGCAGAAGAATTATTCAGCATTCTTAGAAGGATTGAACAACGATCCAACACGTGAAGCAGATCACATCTACGCAATGTGGTCCGATGGTGAGCTTTTGCTTCACATCATTTCATCAACGGGATTCACATGAAATTTACCGTCTAGGGGAAGGAAACTCTTAATCGAGGAAACCATATGCGATCGATTACACTAAGAAAAACTGATATGCTCGATATACCATAAATTCAAAAACTGATGTGTGGATTCAGTAGATAAGCATAAAAATTCAGTTAACAAATTGGAACTACGAAATTGAATCTACATTTTGTTCCGATTTCGTTCAGAACTTTCCTTCAGGCTTCAAAATCATCATTCACGGAGAATCTTTTTATTTGATCGTTTGTTTGCCTCATCTTATGAATATTTTTCAGCTGATGAGACATTATTATTCCGTGGCTTAACGTGGGGTAAACCAACGAGTCGTATTCCTGGTATGAACGGCCGTTGGATATCAGATAGGAACGGTCATGTTGCGATGAAAGATCTTACCGAGTTGAGACAATACGAAGCTGTTGTGCATCACTCTATTTGATGATGTTTTAATTGAATTTTAATAATTGCACTGACTGATTGATTACACGATTTTATTATTATGCAAATGATAATATGAAAATCTGTTATGAATGCAAAAAATTGTAAAAATTAAATCGCCTTATTAATTATAAGTCTAAAATTGAACCAGCACCGCATCGCTTAGTTCAAGCAGCAT